TCCTTGGCAGGCGCGCGAGGGATGGGCGGGGTTCTGGGTGCCCGGGGTGGTCCGGGGCCCTCCGGGGACAGCTGGGTCCGCGCTGGAATCTCGCGCTGTGCGGGGTAGGGCTTTCTGTCCTTTGACATCGCCGCCCTGCAGCCCCTGTGTCCCCCTGGCTCCTCCCCGCGCAGCTGCCCCCAGATCTGATGACCTCACTCTCTGCAACCTTAGCAAGTCGGGGCTGCCCGGGTCCCTCACACCGCGTCCAAGGTGGCTTTCGTCGTAGATGAAAACCACTAGAACCTAAAACATCAGCTCACGAGGGGCCTGGGTGCTGGACCTGCACTTGGGGCTCCAGGAAAAGTTGAGCCACCCCAAGATAAGGACACCCCAGGGCTCTGAGCCCAGGACGGATTCGGTCCGCCTCCCGTGACCCGACCCGGGTGCCGATGTTGCTGACTACGCAAATCCCCAGCTAGGCAAACCAGGCCTGGCCTTTGTCTCCTCTACAAAACCCCACAGCTGCTGCAGCCTCGGGAAGACAGACCGTGAATCTCTCTGCACAGCTCTGATGATTTTGTTCTGATGGGGCAGGGTCTTGCTGTGTAGCCCAGGCTGACCTGGAATTCACAGTGATCCTCCTCCCTCAGCCTCCGAGGGCTGGGCTGACAGGTGTGAGAGGCACCACACAGAGGACAAAGAAATGGCTGCTCAAAGATTTCCAACTTGTAAAAATCTGTGCCGGCAGCTGGGCATGGGGGCCGCCTGCCTCTCATCCCAGCACTCGGGAGGCTGAGGCAGGGGGATCGCTGCAAATTCCAGGCCCAGCTGAACCCTGCCGATCCAGAAGTAAGAGAGCGGCTGAGGTAACGCTGGGCAGCGTTCACAACTCCAAAGCTGCCTCCGTCTGGCTTCCAGTGTGGTGTCTTCCAAACAGAGATCTTCCTCGCCCAACAGTTCCTGGAGCTCTGTACCTGAGCCATACGAGCTGGAAGGAGAGCCAGGCTCCAGCGTGTCCCGCGGTGTGGCTTCCCCGGCTCTGCCCAGGGGTTGACGAGTGGGGGTGCTCCTGGCAGGCACCGGGGACCTGAGCCCCCACCCCTCTCGGGGGCAGCGCGCCCGCCTGCTCCCCTCCCAAGCCGGCTCTCCGCGCCGAGGTGGGAACGCAATGGGCGGAAAACCCTCGTTTCTATTTATTCCCCGAGTCTGCAGAGCCCGCCAGCCCTTTCACACCACAGAGCCGTCTCTTGAAATAAGTGGCACAGATTAGAACCATCACGAAAACACAGCAAAGCTGGCCGACTGCACAGAACCGAAGGCCAGGGGCCCACTCGGTCCGGACACTGCCGGAGTCTCCCCTCGGCAGCCTGAGGCGGTGGAAACGTGACAGGGATCCTCCTGCCTCAGCCTCTTGCACACTGCGACCTTTAAATGCGGATTTCATTCCCCCGGCCTCTCGTGATTAGCTGCGCTGTTGCCAGCACCTAACAAATATGCAGTTTTACTTTTTAGGTAAATTGACCCAGAGACTTAACCAAGAACATTAGCCATAAATTTGCGGAACAAGGAGGTGACCACCCTCTTATCCCCTGCCCCCCTCCACCCCAGCACGCAGGGACCCCAAACGCTTTGGCCCCAAGCACCTGCGTCGGAGGGGTGACGCTGCAAGCTTTATTCCTAAAGCGCCCAACTCAGTTGGAAGGAACTGGAGTGGAGGTGCGGCTGGAGCTTCTCCAGGAATCCGACGCCGGGAGGATTTGGCCACGTTTCCCACGACAGAACCAAGCCAGGGACGGTGTCCACCGCGGGGGTGAAGGGCAGCCACCATGGCTGGATCTCACTGGGCAACTGAGCCCAGCCAGGGGCGCCCGCGGTCCAACCA